GCTCCCTCCCCCTTCAGCTGCTTTATTTACAGCCTCTAATTGCAACAGAGTTGTCCCACCTTAGGATACCCTCCACGCTTGCTCTGCCTGTGTCGCAGCAGGAACACAGAACTCATCTTTCCTGGGCACGGGTGGGTTTTAAACTTGCAGAAAAAACTGTGACTTTCTTTTCTTCCATTGGTTCGTTGGAAGGAATTGGCTAATAATGCTTATTCCATCAGGATCATGTAAGTGTTTTGTTCTGTCTTGACTGGGACACTCGAAATACAAGCAAATACAGAGCTGTCAGGGAACTTTGTCATTTCTCCGTGCTCGGCGATAGTGCTGAGCGGCCTTTGGGAGCGTTCTGGGGTCCTGCTCCTCATGTGGTAGCAGCTTAAGCAGAGATGAGATGATCCAGATGGTGATGAGGCAGTCATTGCATTTCTCCTGCCCAGGTTAATCCTAAACGCTTCCTAGAGCGCTCTGGTGCAGAGGGAGAGCACACTCGGGCTGTGAAGCCTCTGTCATGTATGTCTAACTGGGGCTTTAGACTGGGACTGTTACTGTTTATGTTTCAGGCTGCACAGCTTCACACGCTCCCCAAGGGGCCCTTTGCCAAAATTCTCTCCCCCCCCAACAACCCCAGGTGTGATGTTCAGGTTGTGATTTCAGAGGGGAGCGTTCCGTAGCAGTGGTACCTTAGGGGCTAGGGCTTTGCTTGTGCATTCCCTGGTCCTACTCCAGCGTCTCCATTTCTGCAGTGTTTGCAGGTTTTGCTGTGAACTACAGAGGAGTTCAGAGAACTTTGGGACAGGTGACGTACGCCGTGCACCTATGCGCTGGCTGTATTCCAGCTCTGCTCTGTATCTCACTTCACCAGATAGTCCTTCAAATCAAATGTAGCCTTCGTCATCAGCTCAGGTGATAAATTATATTGATTTTATTGTAAATGAGTCAACAGCAAACATGATCAATGAATGCAATGCCTAAGGTGTGGCCTAGGTTCTGAAAAAGGGAAAATACCAAAGGGAGAACCGCAAGTACCAGTAGAAAATATGTATGCAGCGAGATCAGGAACAGACGTTGAGGGAGATGCAAAACCAGAACATGTCCCTAACCCTAACCATTCTGTGACGCTATGTCTTTCTTTTGTTGCCTGAATTGCTTTGCCATGATGGAGGCAAAACCATGGAATGGTTTGGGTTGGAAGGGACCTTGAAGATCACCTAGTTCCAACCCCGCTGCCATGGGCAGGGACATCCTCCCCTAGATCAGGTTGCTCAAAGCCTCATCCAACCTGGCCTTGAACAGTTCCAGGGATGGGGCATCCACAACTTCTCAGGGCAACCTGTTCCAGTGCCTCACCACCCTCAGAGTGAAAAATTTCTTCCTTATATCTCATCTAAATCTCCCCTCTTTCAGTTTAAAGCCATTGCCCCTTGTCCTATCACTACATGCCCTTGTAAAAAGTCCCTCTCCAGCTTTCCTGTAGGCCCCCTTTAGGTACTGGAAGGCTGCTATATCCCCCTGGAGCCTGCTCTTCTCCAGGCTGAACAGCCCCAACTCTCTCAGCCTGTCTTCATAGCAGAGGTGCTCCAGCCCTCTATCATCTTTGTGGCCTCCTCTGAACCCACTCCAGCAGGTCCATGTCCTTCTTGTTTTGGGGACCCCAGAGCTGAACGCAGCGCTGCAGGTGGGGTGATGAATTTCGTGTAGTAAATGTAACTCCACAGTCAGTGTTCGTGTGACACTACAGTACATGCAAACCCAGGAACACGCTGCTACTCAGAGTCCAAAGAACAGCTCTGTCATGTACGTTCGAGCCCTGTAAGAACAGTCACCAGTTGAATTCCCTGCTCTGTCTTTTGGGAAATCAGGACCTTCCCCAGGAGCTTTTTGCCGTGTCCAGCATTGGCACTGGGCACGCTCCCATGTGTCCAGCACAGACCTTGCTGCCCACAGAGGTTACAAAGTCCGTTCAGTTCAATCGTACTCTTGTTCCTACTCCCTCCTGTGTTTTCACAGCGAGCGTATTTTCCAATATTCAGTTAGAAACACTGGCAAAATGCTAGCAGAAAAAAAAGAATTAAGGAACTAATTCAGTATTAAATGGTTCTGCAACTCCAGTCACAGGGGCTGCTGCCAGGCAGGTCCTGGTACGCAGCTGGTGGAGACGTGCTCTGGAGAGACTTTTCCTAGAGGAATGCGTTTGATGTGCGAGCACAGGTCACCTCCTGTTCCCATGCCTTGTGTGGGAACAGGCTTGGTTGCAATCATCGAAAGGCAAACGCAGATTCAGAAAGTGACTTTCACAACCACATTTAAATTCTGACCTGAAGTCAAGAGTAAAGAGCAGTGTCTGCAGAACGTTCTTTTTGCATAACATGCGTTGTGAGGATACAAAATGATTCAGAATGACATTTTCCTCTGGAAATTACTGCTAATAAGTGTTGGATATGGGAGCACAAGGGGTGGAAGTTCATAGAAACTTCCGAAGTAAGCTGGTTACTTCTAGAACTGACCGGCGAGCTCAGTACCAACAGTGGACAGCCTGCTGTGTGACAAGCACGTGTGGTTTCATGTCTGGTTGGACCAAAACTGGAATACTCCAACTCACCCGGCACTCTCTCGAGAGATGCAGAGGAGCGTTCTCAAAGCACCGTGCAGGCTTGGAAGCGCTGCGGTCAGATTCCTCGTCTGCTGGGAGGACAAGAGCTCAAACCTCAGAAAGTGAGGCTATGTCTTTCTGTGTTACCCAAACGTTCCCAGAAGAATAATATTCCTTAGTAAAAGAAGATTAATAGGCCTCAGAGACGCAAGGATTGCAGTTCAGTTCCTAGCAAACAGCAAATGCTGTCTGTGGGGGTGTAAAGATGTCAGAGCTTTTAACGGAAAGGATTCCAGAAGTAAAACAGGAAAGTACTTTCAGTCAAGTGATCAATGTCAGCAAAGGATAATTTTCCAAAGTTAGTTCACAGCATCTGTAGATACTGAAAAATATTGAGGGCCGAAGTCTATCTACTAAGAAACATTTTCTTACACCTAAACAGCCCAAAATCCCGAGAGTAGGTAAAACCAAACTTCACCTGCTCTCTTCCAAGACCAAGAAGCACTTTAGAGTAATTCTCTTCCAGAGACATCTCTTGCTGGGCAAGGAAAGGGCACAGGGAAGCCCAGGAATCAAGCACGTTTTACAGTCCTGGTTGAAGCAGGACCCATTTCCACAGCGTCTCACGCCCTCAGACGGCAGATGAGCTCTGCTGTTGCAAGCTTGGATCTGGGACTTCCAGTAGTCCCTGGGGAAGGTCTCTGCCATCGCCATGGGCAGCACGGGCCTGTCTGGAAAGAAAGGGGGCACCTGGAGCCATCGTGGTGGTCTCAGATCTGCAGGTGCTGCTTGCTGCCTGTTCAGGGGAAAAAAACCTGCGTGAGCTTGAGTTTAGTGACATTTTATCCATTCCTTTCCGGGGCTGAGGCCTCTCACGAGCCACATGAAGTCCTAGAGCAGCTTCAGCTGCCCCGTCACTGTAACCTGGTGCATGCAGCAGTGCTGCTGAGCCACCCTTCTTTCTCTGTCCGCGCTTACTCCTGTCCTTCCCTTGTGCTCCAACAAGCATTTTTCTAGCTCTGTAGTAAAACTGTCTGAATTAAACACGACACAATTTCTTCCGTTTTGTGTACTGCATCAGCACCGCTACTCGTGCCTGTTTGGTAGCACTGCTCTTCACTCATGCTTCTCCCAAATTCAAAGTTCAGAACTGAATTTCAGAAAGTAAGGGTGGAAATTCCCTAAATACAGTTTATTTTATTTATTTTATATGATTTTATTCTGGATACAGTTTGGTATCACTGAGGAGGCTGTTTTTGCTCATCCTGTGTCCAGAACATGTCAACAGCACTTGTCATAATATTAAAATAGGAAGTCTGTGCACAGTTGTTGGAAAACTGCAAATTCATTCTGGCTTTCTGCATACTAATTTATGCAGACAGGCCCAAAACTGTCTGCATGGAACAAGGCCAGAAGACTTTGTGCTAAAAATAAAGAATATTAAAAAAAGTACCTGTGAGTGGTTCAACCCTGATCTTCAAAAATACCCTGAATACAGGGCTGAAGAATATGCTTATGCAGAGCAGTAACAGGTAGAGAGAGATGTCACGATACATTTTGGCAACTCCCTGGGATCTCACCTCCTGGAAGAGGCTATAATAGTGCAGGTGCTGGAGCAATTATCCAGACTCTCATGAAGTTGCCGTGCAGCTCAGGTGGCATTTGCAGGTAATGCTGCTGACCGCTTATCCACAGTTCTCCTCCACCACAAGTTATCCCCTCCACACACCCCACAAAGAACAAGAGCCACTATTTTTAGTTTCTATCACTTCATCTCCCCAACAAAGATAAATTGGAGCTGTGCTGATGTCATCTCTGATGGCAGCAATCAGCTCTAGACCTGAAGGTCACCAGTGTCGGGCCAAAACAGCTATTTCAATTCGATAGCAGTCGGAATTGCAGGGAACAGTCGCTATTTACCCAGTCAGAAAAGGAGCTGGAAACGACTTGACAATGTTTTTCGTGGAGTGAGAAAGTGAGATGAAGTCCAAGAGAACAGTTTCCATGATGTACTACAGGCATATTTTTTATACATGAAAGATGCCAGTAAGAAGAAAATTTTCACACCTTTAGTTCAAAACTTAAATTCTTAGTGAAAGTGGAAAAGTTCTGAAGAAAGGGTTTTCACTGCCATTAAAAACCTCACCTTTTATGAGCAAACTGAAAACTGTTAACTTTCTACCTCAATGTTTATAAATGGAAAAATAACAGATCAATTTACTGGCATGATTCCAGTAGAGCATTCCGTCTGGAAGCACAGTAAAAAGTATGGCCTGCATTATTCCATAAGCATAAACCACCTTTGAAGTTGGAGGAAAACAGGAATGCTTCTGTACCCAGTTTACACTGACCAAAATGCACCTCCGTTACACATGCGAAAGAACTTGGCAAGAACTGCTACAACCAAACGGATGTTGTAGGGTTTAATTTCTTCCATCTACAAGAATCTACAATTATAAAAGTCTCCTCTTCCAACTTTACAGTACATTTACATGCGCGAACACCCCACGGCTTTCTTCACTCCTCCGCTTCTGTACAAATCATACACAATAAAAAGTTTCGGTTTTGTGGTACAAACGTTGTTTTACACTTTAATACAGATGAAAACAGCGTTCTCTGGCACCTCACTTCCTCCGCGGTGCCCGTGTGTCACACTACAGAGCACGTTCGATCCGCACTTCTGGAATCTTCAGCTCAAGTAACATGGACTGATCAACAGGCCACAGCTCCTGCCACTCCAGAGTTTTAAATAATGAGAAAAATCTGCCACTTGGTTGTATAACAATCAACAGTTTATTAATGGATATGGTGAAATCTCAGCTATCCACCAAGGATGTGTAAAAAATTGTCATGAAAGTAAAAATAAATAAAGCTGTTTTTAAAATCAGTCTTGTTTTACATCTCGGTTCAGAACGCAACATTTAACACAAAACTGTCATTAAAGTTTGAAAGAAGTCTACCGATACTCAGATTACAGCTTTTATGACAAATCTAATGAGAACTGAAACGGATTTGGTTTAAAGACTCTCACATTCAAATACAGTGTCTCGTTTAGCACAACACTCCCTTTGACAGTGATGGGCAACAGTGATGACATATTGCTGTATTTTGACATAAGGCACTATGATATGAATATGCCATACACTTGCCTTATGTCACATCCATCCATTGCTGACCAGTGACCTCTGTCAAATACAAAAATGGACAAGTTTCAGAATACAGTGCATTTTAATGAAGGACATCATGTGAAGTCTTCCAGCAAATGTTTTGAAGACATTTGGAAATACAAGCCTACATTTTAACATAAGCTTTTTGTCATGCTGCTTTTTTTTTTTTTGCGACATCACTGGGGGGAAGAGACTCGTCATCCATCACTAAGTCCCGATACACATTCTCAACCATCCTGCTCTGTTCTGTTGCAGTCGCTGTTCTTGAGACAAACTTGACCCAGAAACGTTGTTCAAGTTCTCCTACAAACGCGAATACATTCCCAGCAGTCATTCACTTTCATTCTCCTTCTGTTTGGCACCTGTTAACAGAAGAGGAGAGCACGCCTGATTTCCTTATGCACACAGCACTTGGCTGTTGGAAAAGCACAGCTCATTCCGAATGCTGCAGCTTTGTCTGACCACGTTTCCGGAATCTTAGCACTGGATCCCATTTATAAAGAATATCCTGCAGGATTGCTAAACGCTAACGTAAAACAGTGAGGAAGGCCTTGAGACCATTATTGCTTCTCACTTCATTTAGTAACTCTTCTGGGAGGTTACAAAAAGTGGCTTTGAAGATTCTCCCCAGCACAAAAATTTGTTTTAAAAAAACCCCCAACCCAAAAGCCACACCCCAAACCTGTCCATCAGCTTAGAAGCCAGCCTTAATCATCCTAATAACCTCAAAAAATGAAGTCCTGCTTGCAGATAAAATATGTAAGAACTTGGTTTAACTACACTGTGTTGATGGACCCATTTTTCCTGGCTCAGAGGCAGATTTTGCTTACAGTAGGGATCCGAGAGACCTGTTCGGCAGGGATGCATACGCCTCTTCTCCAAGCACTCAGACTGGCCACATGCTGGGGAACGACTGAACCCTATGGCGAGTTTGGCTTCTAGCATCCAGCCCTAGACAGCGAGAATCTCTTGCCAGCAACCTGGAGTTACTAGCTGTAATGTATAATCAAACGCTGAGAAATTCCTTAAACGCATCCAATTTTCTCATCACAACTGGTACATTTTTCCCCTAACGTAGGCTGGTCTTAACTCCTGTCAGTCAACACATTTTCCTTTCTAGTCTGTGAAGTGGACACTTTCAGGGCATGATGCATCCGGCCATTCTTCCGCATCTACTGTAAGAGGTAAATCACACTCCAGACTCTACAAACCAGGTCTGCACTGCAGACGTCCTCGCTTCATGAGACAAATCCCAACCTACAGTTGGGCAGTTGTCTGTGGAACTGCAATCTAACACCTAACTGCTCCTAAAGAATGCCTTCCCTCCCCTCACCCAGTGGCATAACCCTGCCTGCTCTGTTGCTCTGACTCCTGTGCTCCATGCCAGACTCTTCTGTGAGGCAGCGTAGTGTGCCAGACTGACCAAACTCTGCCTCCTGTTGGGTCAGGGAGTCAAAGCAGCTCACAGAGGGCTCTCATGAGAGGGGGTGCTGCCACACGCTAAATGCCAGAAGCAGAAACTGCCCTTTTTAATTACAGAGCACTGTCATATCAGCTCACAGAGTCACAACTTGAGCGTCCGTGTAATTCCAGTATAACAAAGCTCTTGGTTTGTCAGTATCCAGATTTATCTTTGCTGCCTAAACTTTGCTCCGTTCACAGTAAGACCTACCCTCCTTGGATCCTTCTGCCCTCGAGCCATGGGGAAAACTACCTCCTCTGCCTGGAGAGGCACCATCTCTGCCTGTCTCTACATCTCCCTCTTGGGAGGGACACAGACCTCTCTGTTCTCTTTCTACATAGCAAGCCCATCAGTCTGTGGGCTGATTCCTCATGCTCATCCATACCTTCCACAGAAAGCTGGGTTACTTGCTTTTCCAGGTCATCAAAAGGAACTAGAGGCGCTGACATAATACTTCCAGCAGTATCACTGATTATTTCTTTTTAGAGGAGAAACCTTACTATTTAACTCTACAGAGGAGAAGGATTTTCTACATTATCCTGTTATCTGTCAGTGCAAGTGACAGATCCTAGTTAAGCTCACATTCAGACTCTTTTTTGAAGGATGTATCCAGCTCCGTTTGTTTAGTCTGATGTTTTTTTGAGGCAAAACTGTAACACTCAAGACATTTTTTTGTCTTCCTCACAAAGCCAAAAGAAAGCTTTGCTTGAGTTGTTGTGACACTGAAGTCAGTTATGTGGTCAAAGTCAAGTTACAATTAAGAACATAAATAGCAGGTTAGTAACTTGGGCAAACTTAAAAAACCAACAAAACCAAACTGTCCCCCCACCATAAAATGACAGAAATAAACCTATTGTTGAAGACCCTTGTTAAAAGGAACCTGATCATGTTTAGTTAACCACCAGAGATTTCTAATGGAATAATTCTGGTGGTCTAGGGTGACATCTGACACAGTTGTGCCAACCAAAACCCACAGCGTAGCTGGACAACTGCAGGGCTCTGAGGAGGTGGTTCTGCAAAGATATAGAAAGCACAGCTGCATCCACACAAGGAGCACTTGACCAGAGTACAGGAATTTAGGAAAGTGGGAAAGGCGCCCTGTTGTAGATGTTGTCTATGCATGCAACATTAAACTTCATCCTGTTTTTTCCTGTTAAAACATTAATCAAGACCTTTTTTTCCTAAAAAGAAGATATGAAGAGAAATGAAAAGTGTATTTAAGAACTATGATCAGGCAGTTACAAAAGTTGAAAAAAATCAAAAGTTTGTCATTGTGAAAGAAATTAAAACCAGCAGGGTGTATGCACTACCAAATAACTTACGACAAAGCTCAGAGAGCAACATCCATACCTGCTGGTGTGAGTACCAAAGCTTGTAGTATGTCAGAAAGGGAGATGATACCCACAATGCTATCTGCTTCATTCACTACCACCAAACGATGAACCTGCAAGCAGGGAAAATACTTTGAGATATTTGCCTAGTTTGAAATACTAGCTAAAGCAAAGGGAAAAAAAAAATCTTGAAGTAATGAAGTATGAAGACAAGTAGGAGAAAGAAAAAGTAGTTCAAAATGTTAGCAATACCAGTCTCACACAGCAGCAGACACGCTCATCCTACATAAAAGAAAACCAGTGCCTGTTTAAACAGCACACAGCTACCGGGCACGGCCACAAAGTCAGATGTGAAGTGACGGCTAAGCCAAGATCTAGGTCTTCAAAATACTTCTGCTCTCAACAAGTGGCACTCACATCCAACACTTTTCCCCAGCTCTCGGGCTCCGCCCAACTCGGCCTGCCATCTCAAAACATAAGATTCAGTAATAAAATGGGGCTTCCTTCTGAAAAAATACTTACTCAGAGAGAGGTACAGCACTAAAACCTGTATCTTGACATGTCCAAGTTGCTTTCAACCTAGTTTTTCTTGTAGGGCTACACAACTGAAACCGAGTGCCAGATTTGTTTTAAAAGCCTTGTTTTGCATGATGATAGAAAAAAAGATTCAACTTCTCTATGCAAACTCACTGTAGAGTTAATAAACACAAGGATACAACTCGGAGGAAAGATATATCAACAGTAAAATTGTTGGTTTTAAATAATGATTTTATCATTACAAATCTATTCTAGGAAACATTTTATACTGCAAAACTTTTCTCCTAATTGTGGGATACTCCATTATCCTGCGGCTGATGGGCCAGAGCAGGCAGAGCTGTATCACCTAAACAACAAAAGCTGAACCAGCTCGTAAGTAAGTGATCCTAAAAGGGGTGTTTGTCAATGCTGAGAGCCTACTACGTGTTTACTTTTTACCACAGTGAATTCTCTCTCTTTGCTGTTTTCAGTTCAAATAATCAGATACAATGGTGAAGAAAGCAAACAGAATTTTTTCTCATCTTCTCAGAGGTGATAGCAAGAAGGCTGCAGCAGTCTTGATTTAATAGATACGTTAATTTATGGTTGAGGTTGACCACTTTGTTGCTGGTCACATACAAGAAAAGAGCAGCTCTGAATTGTTTGAACAGTCATACCCATCTGACACAAGGAAGAAAGGAAAAAAGACAGGAAGAGAGAGAAAATATTGTTGCATTTTCTTTTTGATTCAACTATGTTGGTGATATCTTAGATGGTGTCATTAGTTTTTGTATACGCACATATTTAATAATTTTATTCTTCTCTCAGTGTAATGAATTCCAGAAAAAACGGACAATGTAATTGTTTCATTTGTTTAATTTCCAGTAAGATCAAGCACTTGTCTGGCAGCTAAAAATAGCCTGCAGTTTTGACTGACTCATTTTTACATATCATCTCACTATGTTTAGACTGAACCAAAGGGTAGGAGTTGTTCTTCAACCCCAAATGTCTAAAGCTTCTTAAGATAGTAATAAAATTATCCAAATTTGAAATTTGTATATCAGCAATGCTAAAATTATCCCATTTCAGGAAGAAGCTCAAGCAGATGCAGAAAGTTGCAAGTAAAAATTGTCTAATGAAGGTTCTAAGGGGATATTAACAAAGTGGAAGTTTTACTCATATCAAGTATGTGTGGCTACAGCCTTGAAGATGAAAAAAAAGTGTCTTGTAATTGAAGAAATTAAAGCATCTAAGTGGAGCTGATCACACCACAGAGACAACTGAAACTGGTAATACTGATTTTCTTCGGCAGAGAGGCGTAACGGAGGAGGAAGGCCTACATTCTTATTCACCTCCACGTGTAAGTTCCCAGTACTAATAAACAAGATAAACAGCTCCAAAAGAAATGGAAGGGGCACAGATAAATCGTTCATAAGAGCAGTTAGTGAAGGCTTACTCACAAGAATTTGTTTTCTGGCCCCGTTTCACAGTGTTTGTATGAAAGCAGTGCAGGACCATACGCGTTAACTAATGGCACCCATTAAATTTCCTGAACGACAGGCTAATCAACCTGACTATAAGCTGCAGTTTAAAGAATCATGTGTCTGCAAAACTTATAGCAGGCTTGGAAGAAACTTGATTCTTTCAGAAAAGCTTTGCATTCGGTTCATTAATGTCATAAAACAGAAACACAAATAGCCAAGTATTATTACAGACGTGCTGTACGGTATTTTGCACATCCCTATGAGCATCTATAAGCTGAGTCTATAAAGCAAACTGATACTTAAGACACGTAATTGTGAAAAAAATACTTCCACCAAATAAGCAAAATAACTTAGAAAGGATGAATTTGTACTATTTATTAGTTTGGTGATACAACTTTTAACTTACAGTGAAGGGAAAAATAAGAAGTGAACGCACCTCAGCCTTCACTATTCTATCCACAATGGTCTCCAGTGTTTCCAGCATACTACACTTTACAACACCTTCAAAATACTGAGAACGGTGCTGTAGGGCTTGCGTCACCGTGATATCTAGGTTATTATATGTTTTTTCAGCAGCAAGATTCTGGAAAAAAACGAAACAAACAAACCCCAAGGCACGTCACACACCTCAGTAATAAAGTACTCTTTGGCATCAAGTAGATACACATTTCTGGGGTAAACCGAGCCTAATCTAAGAATATTAAACAACGCAGACG